AGTTGGGGACTATGCCCAATCCCAATTTAATGGCTCAGCAAGCACACGTTTTACAACATTGATGGAAGCTTAGGTAATTCACCAAAAATTAAAGTATGCCATTTTTGGTTTTGCTGACAAAATGTCACTATTCATTTAATCTACCACTTGCCTCCATATGGTTTGGCAAACCACTGTCTATATTGGTAGAGATGCTTGTGAAAATTAACTTCTAAAATCATGAACAATAAATATTTTGGGCAGTTTCATTTTGTTGAAGGCTTTGTTTACATTCAATTCCGAGTCAAGCTAACTCTAAGAAGTAACTCAAGTGGTAATAGGGGAGAAGTTGTAACTCAACGCGTCTTGAGTTCGAATTTTAGCAATTCTTTGGAGGCAGACCATGAAGAATTTATTTCTTATGAATACCCTAATTTCAGCGTAGATGGTCTGTCTTTACCCAAACCAAGGAAGGGATTACATGGTCATGCACCACATGTCTCCACATTTCATTAGCACCATATGAGCATTGTCCACCAACTTACATGTCTCCAAAAGCAGGTTAGGCAGGAAATTAACTCATATCCTTGTTCCATCTTTTCATCTTTTTTCCTTACTAATTAGGTTATCCTTATCCTAGATTAGCTCTTTCTTTTTATAGTTAGTAATGAAGAATTGTTTCAACTATGCATTCTTTGATCAATTAATTATAAAGTATGCTTCAACTACGTGGAAATTGAACACAAATTATGGCCATTGAAGCTAAAATACAAGAGGGAAACTAAACTGGGATCTTGAATTAGTAAAGTGGACAGTGCTATGGTACCGAAAAGGCCTGGCATTACTCATTGAAATTTCGAATTCATTTTTTTTTTGACAAAAAAATACCAAAACCCCTTGAAAATTTATTTAATCTAAACAACCCGATTTGAATTTTTCAATATGCCCAAAAGGTGCAAATAAAAATAAAAAATACCTAAACAACCATTAAGGATGTTTTGTTCAAGCAACTAATGTTTAGGACCCCATTGTGTTAATAAGATGTTCAAGGGATTGATAAATACAACCCTGGTACCAACGGAATTAAGCAAAAATAGAGGGACCTAGATGCAATAACGCAGCAGAATAACTGTCAGAAGCGACAACGCAAAAGGTGGTTGATGTTGCTTTATTCTCCGCTCATCGAAGAGACCCACCACGTTGCATTTGTCAGTTTTATCTTTTGGGAAAATAACTGTTGTTGGCTTATCGGGTCTGTCATCAGTTTGAATTGAATTTTGATAGTTTTTATTTTTATGATTCTTATTTGAATTTGTTAATAACTAGGAAATTAAATTCGATCTTACTAATTTTAATTCAACTAAATTTTTTTAAAATAATCAATTGTTTTCTTTAATATTTACACAAAATATATATATAAGATCGGATTATAATCGGGTCAAATATAGGTATACTAATTATTGTTTGTGCCTGAAGGCACAGAGTAATAAAAAAAGATAAATAATAAACATATTATATTCATATCGAAAATCAAATCATGAAATAGAGAAGAGATAAAGAAATTTAAATATCGATTTGTAATGAGAGTGAGAGATGGTAGCAACAGTGGTGATGGTGGTAGACGGTGATGGTAGTGGTAGGTGACAATGATCATGGTGATGGTGACAGTGGCATCTGCGGTGGCGGTGGCGATGGCGATGGTGTTGGTGGTGGTGGTGGTGGGAGTGGCGGGGGTGGTGACAGGCGCGGCGATAAGGGTGGGGTTGGAGGCGGCGGCAATGACGATGGTGGTGGCAGCGGTGGTGGTGGCGGCGACGACGACGGTGGTAGTGGTGGTGGCGGCGGCGGCGGCAGCGACGACGGCGGCGGCGGTGGTGGTAGTAGTAGAAGTAGTGGTGGAGTAGTTTCAAACATTAACGTATTTATGAATAATAATTTTTAAAAAGTCACTCCAAATACACCCATAGGGGTCTATTTTTCTTATTAAATTTAAGATGTTAATATTAGCCGTTAGATTAACTTTAACGTAAAATTTAAAGCGATTTCAACCGTGAATAGTAAAAGTCATTTTGTTTATTTTTTGAAATTTGAATTGTAAGTTACTTTATTATATAGATCTAAATTAAAATCTGCGAAAAATATAAGACCGAATTTGGATTCAGATTCGAATAATCGATCAAAAATATCGATTTATATCCAAGTATTTAAATTCGATACATTAACCGATTTAATCTCAACTTACATATGGTGGACCATGGTCCGACCCACAATTGGGAGAAAATAAATTTAATTAGATGAAAGAACCCTAAATTCAGAGAAAATTTTCCTTTTTTTTATTGTTTTCAAACAATAACAAAAAATTCCTTTAAAAAAATTGTTCAATCCAAAAAACCCCATAAAATTCTCAAGATATCCAAAAGCTACAAAAATAAAAGTAACCATTATTAAAAAAAAAAATCATTTTGGTTGAATCAACTAATATTTTTGGGGTATTAAGAAAAAAATGATTGGCCCACTATTATTTACTAGTTTAATTTTGGACTTGTCAGATATATATGAGAAAATTATAACATACGTATTAGATCATGGAAATACATAATTAATATTTTAATCTGGCCATCGACGACAATTGTGAAATAAAGCAAATCTTTTTATAGCGACAAATATCGTAACTATACTTTTAAAAACTCGTGCTTAGGGTATAAATTTTAGATATGAGCAATCACTCTCAAATTATACATATTGTTTAATTAAAATTTTTAATATGAAAACTTGAGATATAAATTCCATTGGGTTTCGTTATTGGATTTTTAATATTTATGAATATCTTAATCTCGACGTGAATGTATGTCTTTGACCGAATTTAAGAGGAAATTAATTTAAGTGCGCATAATCTGGTCTAAATTCTCTTGATTATTGAAAAAAAAGGTCAAATTTGAGAGTTAATTAATGTAAACAACCGGGGTAACAAGTGAATTAATCAAAAACATAGGGACAATCCTGTTATGATTCGGCTAAATAAAACTGTCACAATCGACAAAGTAGAGGGTAGTTGATGTTACTTTATATTCGTATTGAATCTCAGGGACCCACCACGTTGCATGTGTTAGTTTGCCTTTGGAAACGACAGTGAAAACAGCTTTAATTTAGGGAATTAATTTATTGGCTTAATAATTATTTACTGGGACATGTAACCAACTGAATAACATTATTGACATAAGAGAGGTTGAATACTCAACTTATTTTCTGTAGTGTCGTGGTGACGGTTCGATCATATCAAGTTAGTGTTATGGTTTAAATCGAATATTTTACAATTGAGAATTATTATGTCTAGTCGTCCACGACCACTTTTTTAACACTGCAAAAAAAGAAAAAAAAAAACCATTATTGATATAGAAATGTGGTGGTAAAAAAATAATTTCTTTTAAAGTTTGGTAACAATTAGTTCTAATACTACATCAATTTCAACTTGGACATTTGGTCTTTATACTTTATTAATTGTGGAAGGACCCCTAATAGTTACAATGGATTATCATCATCATCCACATGAACTTTTTAGAATATCAGATAGTGACATTTGTCCGAATCAGTTGCGTGTGTTCCTACATTTTATTCCTTAATTGATAATAAGGAAGGAGAAGCCTGCACCTTCAACACACAAAACACAAATGATGACAAATGAGAGATCATGTGATTCTAAAACCAGTTGCGTGGCTCTTAAGCTAAAGTGTACGTACACTAGATGAAAAATATCTTTTTTTTGATCTAAAAAAAAAAATTATCCTGTAAATACTAACGGACATTTTTCATTTTTTACTCGGTCGTTAATGGCATTTGTAAAGTCAACCTAACCGATCACCGTGAAAACGCGCTACACGGGCTGTTCAAGCAACCCTTCGTGATAACCGGTCCATCTGATCTGACCGATCCCCAAGGGAGGTCCCACATTTTGTCTGGGCCCACCATGTGAGTACAGACAAAAACCAACTTCCTGCAACCCCCTCTCTCTCTCTCTCTCGCTCTCTCTCTCACAGACACACACAGTCTGAGTCTCCATCTCTATAGAAGCCCGCCGCTATCAGTGTCAGAGCCTCTCTCTCTCTCAAACTTCGAGCTGTGGCAGTGGCGGAGCCCTAGGGAGTCTCAAATCAGTCGAAGCTTTTGTTCCTTAGTCTCTTCTCTACACTGCGAGTCTCCTGCAAAGGAATATCATGTACATTTCTTCTCTTTGGTCCTTAAGAAAGCTACATTTTGAAATTTTCTTACTATTTCTCTCTAATAATTTTGTTAGAGACTTCATAAACTCTTGAATTTCACTGTATATGCATTTCTAATTCTTATGATATGCACTTTAGTCCAGTTCTCTGTTTTTGTTGCTAATTTGCTTCTACAATCTCTTTGCCTCTCTTTTTCTACTGAATTATGTTCTGATTTTTGTAACATAGTAGTGTATTTCAGTCTTCAGAAAAAAGGTGCTATTCTGTTGTTTTCAATGGCGTATATTCTGTTCATGTCTTGATTTATGGTAATCTCTTCATATTTTATTGTGCTTAATCTCATTTCTTTTTTGTGGATTTTGTTCTTTTCCTTTTGGCCTTTTTTAAAACTTATTTTGGGAATAGGATTGTTCTATATTGAGTCTTCTCATTTTGTGTGCAAATCTATTATCCTAAGTGGGGTCATTAGAGAAGATGGGATTCAACGGTTGGAGAATACTAAAGATGCTGTGAAACCTTCATGATTTGTGTTTTTGGTCCCCTATTCTGTAGTGGCCCCATTTTGGATGATGGATTCTGAGCTTCAATGGTTCTGGAACATGCAATGGAGCTATTCAATCTCCCAGAGACATTCATACATTCCTTAGACATTTATCCCACTTATAAATTGTTTCTCCACATTATCTCCAAATTTCTTATTTCCCTATACTTTGCCCACAATCTGCATAATCTTCCAGAACTACATGGTTGAGGGTTTTCTTGTATTTTGCCAAAACAAAAGAAATTATTTTAATAATGACGAGGATGTCTAGGTATGTATGGGAGTGGGGTTTATTTATTCTTCTTTGTCTTCTTCTTTTGAATTTAGATTATCGGGGTTCTGTTAAATAATATATTGTATCTTGATTAAGATATATTTTTTTATGTTATTTTTGTACTCTCTCTTCCTTTTAGGAATTGTTCATTAATTTTTATTCCACAAGTGCTCATTTGACGTTCAATGGTTGTTTACTGAATCTTAGTTTTTAATATTCCTAAACATCGAAGAATCGAGGACATTCTTTGATAAGTGTGAATCAAGAATTAGGAAATACTTGCTTTGTTTTTGCTGTTGTGGGACATTCTTAGATGAACGGAGTATTAGAAATATTATTTTACTTTCCTCTCTTTTGCTTTTTTAATTTATCCTCTGAAGACCAGTTTGAGGCTAAACTATTCCCTGCTGAATTTCTGGAGTTATTAGGGTCCTGATTATGGGTTGTAGTTGTGCAAATAATTCTTGAATGGCAATGGCTGTACTGCCTAGAACATTCGAATGAACATTAAATTGTGCAACAGATTTAGTACATGAACAGCTAATAAGAATAATAGAATGTAAGGATTTATGTTTTACATTTTGAATTGGGTATATATGGTATATATCTGATGTGGTTGTTTCCTTGCAGATTTGTAGCCAGCAAAAGGATAAACCTTGTGGGACTACAAGACCTCACAGGTTGCATGACACTTGAGCTGATTCATTTTGTCTGAAGAACCTCCCTTTTCCACATTTAGATCTCCAGTTGGACACTGCAAAGTATGTTATTGTGAGGTTAAACTAAATTTTGTTACTGTTTATAACCTTGATGATGAGTGAATTGTTATTTTCGATAGAACTGGATTAGAAACCATTGACTAGGAAAATTTTGATTCTTCCACTTCTAATATCAGTGTCTAATGTTCTCATGGACCTATCCTATACACTTCGGCTTTCAAACTAACAATTTCTTCTATTTATATCTCTAGTACCTTTTTTTTCTTATATTATCTTAATTTGGTGAAAATTTTACTGTTTTCATCATTTGTATTTCAGGTTAAAGTTTTCTGGGTACATGGATTTGGCTCTTTGGGATCCATCAGAAGATCAAGGTTTTCACTATTACTTCATGTTATCCTTTTTTGTTAGTGATGGTTTGATTTTTAAATCTTATTTAGGAAAGCAAAGCAAAAACTTAATCCAAAGCTTCATTATACAACTTATATTTGTTGCAATTATCGTAGTTGATTTAAATAATTGCTCTTCAGTTGCATGGGGAGGCATTTTTCAAATTGGACACGGATGGCAGAGTAACTTCCATTTTGGTAATGGTCTTGGTAATTTGGCGTCCCTCTTTTAAACCCTCTCCCAATTTTTTACCTTATATTTTCCTATTGTAGATGTTATAGAAGAAAATGCTTTAAATGAGAAATCATGCATACAAGTGCTAAAGATACTGTTAACCAAAGCCGATACTGAAATCATCGACCTTGAAGATGATGTAGTGATCCTCCAAAGCCAACTAGCCTGGGCTGATGAAGAATGGTCTAAAATATGCTCTTCTGCTTTGAGAGAAAGGATTGACTGCCTTAATATTTCAATTCAGAGCTTAAAGAGTAACAATGTGCAAGATGAGCATGATTGTGGTGTTTGTTTACTCGAGTGTAGAGAACCAGCTGAGAGAATGCATGAAATAGTAAAGGGTCTACTCACTGCTGACTCTCAACCAATAGACGAGCAGGTTTGATTTTTGGAACTTTCACATTCTTCTTCTCGTGCGCTGCTGATTTTAGTCAAATCTAAACTCTGCTATGTTTCCCAAAATTAGAATTCGTAGAAGTGACTGATCATTGAAAAAGAAATCTACGTGACTGAAAAAGGAGGGGTCACTTATTTATATATCAAAGGAGCTAAAATAGAAAAGTTTTTAAAGTAACACAGTCCACTGTCAAAAAAACTACTTAATGGGGTTCAGTTTATTGAAGAACAATTTTGAGTGCAAACATTATAAACTGTAAGTTCAGCATATGAAGATTGGCTGGTTACTGGTTATGCAGTTGTAGCAGATCCTAAAGATTTGGAAGTCTGGGTTTTAACTTGCGTTACCAACACTGCAATATTCTTACCGTACCGAATAACAGGTTCTACCAACCAAAACAAAAAGAAGGAAACAGGAAAATAATTGTTGTTTTTGCCACGAATGAGTCACATATTGGGTCATATAAGATTATTCCCTGTTATAGTTTCTCTTTTATCCAGAAGAGCTTTCTTTTTGGGATGAGTCCAAACAAAGTCATTACATGTATATTAAGCTCATGCTTGATATTCATGTTGAGTTTAGTGTGACTTGTGTTCTACGAACTGTCAATCGACAAGAATATAACCTTTGCAGGCTGGTAATGTTCTGCAGTCCTACTCAATACAAAACTTCTGGCACAAAATTGAGCTTCTGCACTTCAATATTGTACAATGCTACTGACATCATTTCCATCTTATGAACTTTCCTCTCCCCTACCCCTTCCTCTACCCCTCATTGGACCACAGAACGAGTGAGCAATACCATGTGTTTTTGGATATCCTACCTGTTGTGAAATGCAAAAACAGAAATAAATGAAAGACAAATGAGGAAGAACTGTGAAATAGTTGAATCTAAACAAGTTTGTGACAGGTTAGTGCAATCCTCTTGTCCCTGGCCAGGGCCAATCTTACTCTGGGTAGTATGTACCCTTGATCAGTAAGGATTTTCTTTTCTGATAGAGGGTGAATTGAAGCACCTTCTAATTCCTCACCCCATGCACCCATATGAAAACATTAAAGCTGTATCAATAGAAACCTTCTCAATCACCCTCTTGTTTTCAGTTTGAACAGATTCCTCCTGTAAATAAATTCTTAAGGCAATAAGTATCTTATTGTTTTTTCGTCTTAGATAAGGTGTTAAATATTTGTTCAATATATCACTGAAGAAAAAGAAAGCATGCCTGCTAATACGAAGTAGTGACTAAGTTTCTTTGCTAATGAATAGTCTGCGGTTGCTATTACCAAAGAATCAGGCTCGGACATCATGGGAGAGGCAACTGATCTTTTGCTGGATAAGAATAGATTGAACAATTCTGCTTTGTGTACTGTCAAAAAGGAGAAAGTCAGGGACTTCACTATCACTCCAGCAGAAAATCATGGGATCTTAAACTTCCCTTTGAAGCATCCAGGAAAGGAAATCAATTATGCGGTACCTGTTAAGGTCCATGCAGCTCTATCCCTCATTGTTTCTGTTCAAAATCACCCCTCAAAAACACGCACGCAAACACTCAGACACATGCTAACATAAAGAAAGTGGGCATAAATGCACAGTTTAAATCTCTAAAACCTTTGCCTATATTTTGGAAGCATTCCTGCACTGTTCCTACGTTCATAAGTATATTAAGCACTTGAAAATTTCATCCCATAGAGATAATGGTAACAGGTTGTTGCTATCTCTTCTTTACCTTGTTAGAAAAACTTATATTCTATTCTTATGGGTTTTCTGTTTTTTCTTTTTGGCTTGGAACTCAGAAGCCCCTACGAGACGGAAAAGAAACGGTAGCGAATTCACTTTCCATTCTTAACTGTGTTAGAAAATTGTGAACAAAAGAAAAATTATTCATAAAACAGTGAGGGAACATGGGAGGAGTATCAAAGTAATCATCAATGGATTTGTTTCTTTTCTTTCCATGTCCCTCATTGTTTCCAAGTACAGACAGCATTAATGAGGACAGATACATTAGGTTCATAAACACAAAGTCAAAAATTGTGTAAAATAGAAAAACTTTTCTTGTGCTTCAGCGTAACTTTCCTATCTAACAAAACAGCGCACAATACTGCTGTTCAGGTTTCCATGCTAGATTCTTCTAGACCTGTAGCTGCTTTCAGAAATAAGAAGAAAATATCTACCAACTTTATTTCAAAAGAAACTACAGAACTGGTAGCCACGAAATATGGTTCAACTCCCAAAGAGAATGGTGTGACCCAACTGTCATGTCTGAAGCCTCAGCTGAAGAGGAGAAATCATGTAGGAAGAGTTAAGTCCCAGGTAGCCTTTCTTTGCCTTGTAATTTAGGTAGTGTAAAATCATTCTGCATGTACTATGTGAATGCTTTAATTGTACACGTCTTTCAAACTGGCATATAGCCCCTGCACATCATTATGTGGTTTTTTGTTTTATTTTTATTCAATTTTTTTTTCTTTCTGCCTTTTCCTTTCTTTTGCTTTTTTTTTTTTTTTTTTGTAATTTAAACTGACTTGTCTTTGAAGTATTCGTTAAGGCAGAAAATGTGCTTCTTGTTCTTTTCCATTTTAGCCTTTGTTGTGGGGCATATAGCCCCTGCACATCATTATGGGGGATTTATTGTTTGTTGCATGAGTTATGATTGTGGTTTTGCTCCAGAAAAGCAACCTTGAACAGACTCTGAACTCTGTTGTCCAGAAGTCGAGTTTAAATGCTGAGAAACATGCGATCAGCCACACCAAGGAGGAGGGTAAACTTAGCAATTCTTATTCAAAAAGCTCTACTCCCTCGGTTCCAATTTCAAATTTATCTTTGAAACCTGAAAAGAACAGAACAGTTGTGGAAGGAAAGGACAAGGTAAAATTAGCTCTCTCCTCTATTCTACACTTCTTGGAATTGCACACTAAATTTGAAAATTAAGCTTAAGTGATTGGCGTAACATGCTGCAACTGCAAGATCAACTTGTTCACATTAAATCACCTGAATAATTTTTTTTTTTTACCAGGAACAGCTTGAAGATACTAAAATCAAAGACTCAAACTCAAGCTCTTTCAGGCAAGTAAATGGCAACACCACTGACTCTGAGAGGAAGTTTTTTAGTTATTTTGGTTCAAAAGTTGATAAGAAGCAGGGAGTTAGAAGTTCCGCTAATGACAGCCATAAATTTTCAAGATCAGTTTTGAAGAATGTAGGGAAAGAAATAAATTTTCCAAGAAAATTTAAGGTACATGCTACTCTTTACTTGTTTAATTGTATGAGTACCTAACGATTATATATCTTAGTGTGAAGTGAACTACTCTAATATGTGACTAGAAAATCGTGCATTAATAGCATACCATGCTGCGCATAGATCGTGATGTAGTCCAACCTACCTCTTCCGTGTTTTTTTCATAATATAATGTAAGTGATCTCCTCTAAAAATGAACAGCCAGCAAATGTTATGGTAAAAGATTCAATGTCAGAAGCTCCAAAGCATTCGGCCAGTGCAAATGGGATGAAAAAGTTGAACAAGTTAGACTTAGAAGTTATTGATAATGGAGAAGTAAAAGAATGCAGTTCTGCAGAGAGAAGCAAGAGTTTAGAATCATCTTTGGAGATCAGAGGAAATGAAACAGATATTGTGGAAACAGTCGAGGTACAAGCAGCTTTTCCATTACTGTGATTTAAATACGTACATATGCTTTGCAAATCATGGAAATTGGGTTTGTGAACTTTGATCGATCAAAGAAAAGTAAGATGAAGAAAGAAAAGAATATTATTGAAGCACAATTAACCAAAACAAAGCTTAAAGGAAAACTACATATAAGAGGTCTTTATATAGTAAACTAAACTAGGACAACATAAAAGAAAACAAATGACTAAACTACTTCTAAGTCTAAATATAATAACTATTCTAACACCCTCCCTCAAACTCATTATTTGGTAACATTCAACATCAAGAGTTTGTGAAGAAGAAAATAGAAGCGTGGGATGGTGTGAGATTTCGTAAAGAAACGATCAAAAAGTAGTCAATACAATTAAACTATATCTGCTGTTATGAAGGTCATAACATAATACTCTGCTTCAGCAGATGATTGAGCCATAACAGTTTGTTTCTTACTTTTTCACGAAATAAGACAATCACCAATGAAGAGACAGAAACTAGTAATGGACTTGAGATTCATAGAGTCACCAGCCCAGTCCGTATCAGAGTAAACACGAAATTCCAAAGACAATCAAATAACAATGAGAAATCCAACAAAAAACCAAAACTCAACAAAAACCACAAGCAACAATGTTCAACAAAATAAATCCCAACAAAAAAAAACAAACAAACAAACAAGCATAGTCAAAATCAAAAATTAGAACCAAAAGAAGTAGTCAACGTCAAACAATTCAAAGTTCGCCACAAATCAACTTAACAATTTTACAAATTAAATACTCACACAACAATTCGTTCACAAAATCAGCCCCAAAGGCTCAAACCCACCAATCAAAAGTGGAAACAAAAGTTTCTTACTTATTCAGTGCGAAACAATGCAAATGGAAACAAAAGTTTCTTGCTTATTCAATGCGAAACAATACAAATGAAAACAAAAGTTTCCTACTTATTCAGTGCGAAACAATGCAACGCTATGTCAAATAGCAAACCCAAACGAACAAATCAAAAATCAGCAGCGTGACAACTCACCAATGCACAAAACTAACTAATTAACAAACCAGTCCAAAAGCCCAAAGTAACAGCAGAAAATGAAGAAGAAACAACCAGACTAGCAACCAAAAGAAGAAGAAGAAGAAGCACCAGCTGAAGAGAAGAGGCAACAGTAAGTCAACAAAAATAGCAATTCAAACAGCAGATTCCAACCTACCAACTTCACAAACCAGAAACCAACGAAGAAGCAGACGCTCAATAAGCCTTAATACAAGTATCTCGAGCTAATAAATCAAACCAGCAATCCAGTAACTAGACAACTCAAATTCCATAATTTTCAAAAGTTCAAAAGACAAACAGAGAAACAGTAAAACAGTAGCAAAACATCAAAAAGACACTAAAAATCAAAATTCGGCACTGTTCACGGCATAAACAATAACGTCGGTACTGTTCATCCAGTGAGCAGTATTTTCGACACTGTTCACAGTCCTTGGAATCACAAAAAAATAACAATCCATCAATCACTAGTTCTCAAATCACACAACCAAGAATATATTCTTCCTCCAACTAAATTACTGTGGTGTTACAATATGTATTTTGGATCGAAACCATACTTTTGATACCATCTTAACTTTGATCAATCAAAGAAAAGTAAGAGGAAGAAAGAACAAAATATTATTGAGGCACAATTACCAGAACAAAATTTAAAGGAAAACTACATATAAGAGATCTTTATATAGTAAACTAAACTAGGACAATATAAAAGAAAACAAATAAATAAACTACCCTAAGTCTAAATATAATAACTATTCTAAAGGGTTCACTCCTAAAGGAAATGCTTCCTTGTTGATAATTGACCTGCTTCTCTGTGAGATGGAATTCGACGTCCGACTCCAGCTTAAAAAATGGAAAGACATTAAAATGCATAATTTATAAACCTCCTGAGATGTTTGTTGATTGCTTTCAAGTACCCTAAATTATAGTTGTTACTTGAAAACAGTCTTAGACCTCAGATGCGAAGGGCTATACTCAAAAATTTCATGGTAACTTATATGTTGATGAGATGAGTGCAAATCATCTGGATTCACCAATATATGATTTATTTGCAAGTTTCTGCCAGCTTGCAGATCCCAAAACAGATGCTTTGAAACATGCAACTGAAGACACTAATGCAAACCCAAAAACAAGCAAAGGAACAGCAGCTGCTGCTCCTTGCAAGGTTGATCCTTCAAAATCTTCTTCAAAGAAAGAACAGAATACAGTAAAAGCTCCACAGAGGGTGAAGAATCGGAAGGCTAGTCTTACTTATACAGAACACGCTGCTGCCGGTTCACTTTTAGAGCTGCTGAACCATAGAAGAGAAGATACAACCAAGCCGCATCAAAAGAAGAAGCAAAGATCACTATTAAAACAAGTCCAAAACGCCGAATTAACTGCTATAGATGAAGAGTCTGATTCAATCTTCCTTCTGAAGCTACAAAAAAAGAGACTGAAGAGGAAAAGGCAGTCAAATCCAGTAAGTCTACAGGAGCCATGTCTCTCGGTAGAAATTGGGTTAAAATCAATTTACATAGAAAAATTGAAGAGGCAATGCAAATCTGAAAAGACTGACAAAAATGCAAGCTCCAATCAGTCTGTCAACAAAAAGACAAAGGAGACGAAAACTCGGTCTGACTTGTGTCCAGCTGAAGAACCTAGTGTTGCACCAGATGTCAGCAAAAATTCAGTTCCAGAGGCACAACAGAAAAGAAAAGGACCATCAAGGTCGCCAGTCCTTGAGGGGCCTAAAGAGTTGATGGGTTTCCAATTCAGTCTGGCAAAAATGGATGATTATACGACAGATTGTACAACTGATGAAGATTGGATTCATGAAAGCTCCAATGATAATTTGATAGTGACACAGTGAAATCTTTGCGTATCTTGGATGTAGAGTATTTATCATTTTCTGAACTCAAGGCCATTGCAAAGCAACACAAGGTGAAAGGGTACTATAGGCTTCGGAAAGAGCAGCTTCGACAACTACTAAGACTGAAGCCTCAATTTAGAGGTGGGTGTACATCAATCTGTTTGGTTCTCACCTTTTTTCCCAAGCAATTTTTTCTTTTATCTAATTCAAATGGTAGATATTCCCTACAGGTGGAAAGAAAGGGAAAAGAAAGGACCCGACGCCTCCAGCAACACTTCAGGGCAAGCTATAGATTCTCAATAAATGAGGTAATACTCCTTTTAAACATACTGAAAGTGTTTTTTTATAAGAAAAATGATATATACAAGAGGAATGATGCAACTTGTGCCCTTAGCTTTTGTACCCAAAAACTTTGTGGACTTGATCTTCTCATATGTCATGAACCTTTGTAGATAATTGTACACATTTCTTTTAAGCACCCCTTACATACACTGTTCATCACCAGTTAAAACCCATACTTAGGACCAAAAGAGCCTACTTTTTGGAGGGAAATGGGGAGTTATTGAGTTCGATGGCTCTCTTTCCAACCTTCCTTTGTCAGGAGTTTGGCCCTTTTTTAGGTCTGAGAAGACTTATTGAGTTGAAAAGCCCTTATTTTAGGACAAATCAATCATGATTGTGGTTGTTTGAACAGGGGAGGAATTTGAAAGGCTGTGCTGGTTCCATTTATGCAAAATACTATGTTCGTATTTATATTATTTGGTTAGACTCATCTCTAATATTTTAAAATAATTGGGGGATTTTTTAATTTCTGTAGAATAGTGAGAATTTATCCACATCAGTAAATTTTATTTCATTAAAACTTTACTTTCAAATTCAAAAATTCAAAAATAAAAATAAAATAAACTGCTGACGTGGATAGATCTATTGTGTGTGGATGAGATTGGACAACTTTTCCCTACCTTTGTCTTGGTTGCACTTGTTTTAACACTATAAAATGTGCAGGTAATAATACAGCAAATTACTTTATAGAAAACAGGCTTTCTGGTTTCTAAATAGATGGTTAGACTCCACCAGATCAGGCACACCATTTACCCGTCATTGAAAGCAGTTGTTCGTCTTTAGAATCAATCTAATTTACTAAATTCAACTCAAACTTCATCCCAATTATTTGGGGTCGATTACTTGAATCGAGTTTTTCCGGCGTACTCTACTTTAGAGATGTGATTTTTGACCAAAATTTGAGTAATTTTTGATTAAAAAAAATGTGTAATATAGATAACTCTCGAGTAAAAAATGATCAAAATTACATAATTTGCATAACTATTTGACCAAAATTTTGGTAAAAATTAGATCAAAAGTTATCCAAATTATTTTTTCGTCCATATTTTCTATTAAACGACAAGTTATCATATCATTTTTTACTATCTCGTTCAAAACTAATTTTGACCTACCTATATTCACACTACTATATATGTGTATCAATTTACTCATTTTAAATGGAAAATCATCTCAACTTTGAATCATCCTCTTGGCTACTACTAGTTTTGATACAAATCACCTTTCCAATTTCAAAAGCGGGCTCAAATTGTAGACAATAAAAAAAAAAAATTCTTCATACTTCCAGAAGTTGAAATGCATATAAATCATTCATGGTAGAACTTGACAAAGCTTATCTCAAAAAAATAGAAGAAAATAAGATAAAACCAAATGGCTTCCAGTAAATAACGGCTATCTTCTTGCATCTTCCCTATCTGTTCACTTTCAGATGCTTTTTAAACATGTCTATTCAAGAGAAGAGTTGCAGACCAGCATATCCTCTACCAAAACAACAAAATCCATCGACAAAGGGAGAAAATACTCAATTTCCAATATACGGTGCCATTTCCTCTCGAGTACCGTCAGAGCCTATTAAAAAAAATTATTCAACTAAATTCTTACTAAGGCAGCAGGCAGCAGGCAGCAGGCAGCAGGCAGCAAGCCAAAGATAATCTCACAGGGATTTCAAATAAACATAGACTAAAAGTGTTAAAGTAAAAAAAGAATTAAATATCATCATAGAGCTTAAACCTCGAAACAAAACGGGCTCAACCCTGTCAATCAGCCCGCATAATTTGCGGGGCTTTTTGCATTTTTCACCCTGAAAAGTTTTAAAATTTTTACTTTTTATCCTCAAAGATTAAATTTTTCATATTACACTCTCATTATATCAAAAAAAATTATAACGTGGCCCTTTTGTTGGCTTCAACTATTTTCTTCACCAAAAGTCAACCCAATGACGAAAAAATTAATAGAAAGCTAATAGAAGGGTCACATTACAACACTTTTGATACATTGAGAATGTAATGTAAAAAATTAATCTTTAAGGGTATAAAAGTGAAAAACTTAAAACCTTTCAGGGTGCAAAGTGAAATTCACCCTGACTGCCTTCCTGTGCCCCACTTGGGTTCGTGCTCCAGCTGTATTGTAGCACATCTCCTCTGTACCTGTAGGTGTAGGCTGATATTTGTTATTTTCTCTAAAACAACCAGTAAAATGCTAGGATCAGATGAGCACGACAGGCACTCACACAGATCCCGGATCCGAGATTTGTCGTTCAAAATAAGTTTTAGATAAATGGTAAACTTGAAAACAACATAACGTGCAGATGAAACATGGATAAACATAAAATTCGCAATTGCCAAAGTCATACCATTCTGTATATTATAAAAAGATTAAGAAACCTAATCAACCTTTGTAGAGGAGTCAATCGAATAATATGTAAAACTACAGCTCTTTACAACTTCTACCTCGAGATTAAAAGCTGTTTAAAAATCATTGCACCTCACTTGGATTCTAACTGGCGATCAGCCTCCTGTACTGCTCGGACAAGATGCATTACACGATATTGGAGCTTTGCATTCTCTGCTGCAAGCTGCTGTACCTCTTTCAGAGCCTGAAGTTACAAATATAGAGATTTTAGCTCAGCAGTCGACGTACTATCTAGCTGAGAAAGGGTAGATGTGCAAAGGAGTAATGCTATGTGCACCAACACTTGCACCAAATCACTTGCAGCCGTTGGATCAGTGGGTTCTATCACTGATCTAACGACTGCGGTTGATTTGGTGCAAGTTTTCGACACAAATTTGGTGCACATATAATTATTCTATGCAAAGTCATACAACCTTTTCTCTTTCTGAAACCTGCTCAGCTTTTACATCTTCCAACTTTGACTGAAGGTCACTAACCATCTTGAGTAATTCCTCATTTCCTGATTCTGAAGGGGGAAAAAAACAAAAATATAAGGATAATAAGGAAATGAAACAGAAAACTAACATCTACATGGGACACATAATAATTTAGATAGTGCTAGGAAGTATACCTCCCTTACTAGCAAGTGCAGCTTCAAGTCTTGCCAAGCGGTCCTTTATTTCAAACCCAAAAAAATTAGTGAAATCTTGGTGATAACAGCAGCAAAAATAAAATACAAGTGAAATCATATATCTATAATTCTTTCAAAGATTTCCATCTGAACCATAATTAGAAGTGTGGATCATAATACAACCATTTAAAAGGAAAAAAAATGAATATTTCATCCATATAATGTAACTATATGTAAACAGCACAACTATCATGCCATTCTATTTTCCCTATTTCAGTAATTATATATTCAGGCTCTTCCTAGCACAAATCCCTTACTCAGTCCAGTAAAATTGAATACTTATGCAAGCTTTCTAGATTATTTTACTGTAATCACCAATTCACCAATGGATGTTTCATAAAACTAGAAAGAAAAGAACTACAAATTGGTATATTAGTGAAACTGTAGGACATAAATTAAGAGAGAATCGACAACGGTGGGTTGGGCTTATTTATAGAAGACCTAATCCTGCATCACATAGAAAGAGTGAGGTAGTACCTATCGAAGCTAATGCAAAAGATAGGGGTAAACCAAAAAAACTCTGAATGAGATGATAAAAAAAATTTTATAGTTTGCAATTTAACCGCGTATATGGCCTATTATAAACACAATAGATAAATAAAATTCATTTAGCCGACCCCAAATAGTTGGGATAAAGTTGTGTTGAGTTGTCAAGTTGAGTACTTACCAATCCAGTTAAGCCAACATACTGAAGGAACCCATCATCTATTGCCGTACAATTCTTTGTATAAGTTATTATGGGGTGGCGGTACTCATAATGACAAAGTGTTTTGTATAGAAGTAGAGTTTCCATTTTTTCGCTTTTATTTATTGACTTATTTAAGTGGTACATCTCCTTTTAACTTATTCAAGAGTAATTTGAATAACTATTTCCGAACACTATATTTTTTATAGTACTTATGGGAAGTCAAAGGTCCTATTAGCAATTTTTCTAAATCATCCCAAACAGCACGTAAATTTATTATGTCTCATCCAATGGCATGGATTGTCTAGGCACAATTTAACTATTGCAGTTAGTGACGAATAAGACTCTTAAGGTTTCCTAACAAGGCTTTCTTTCCACTCCTCTCAAAAAACTTAGCTTACTCTCATGGTATTAGATATAAACATGAGAGAGTGCACGGCCAGGATCATCGGATGATTCATGGATAATTACAAAAAGGGAATTCCAACCAACAAAATTACAAAAAGGGAGGAAGACCAAATCCTTTAAATTGTTTGTGATTGCAACTAATCAAAGTTTACTTAAAAAGTGTGAATGATTTGATAAAGAAACCCCAAAACATGTCCTCAGTGTGTCATGTGCTCTTTATGTCACATATCCTCTAAGGTGTTTGGGAACAAGAGCTCCAACATGTCCGAAACACATCCGTGCCCCACACATGTCCAACACCAATACTCTAGTCTAAATAAGGTCTCTGTGATTCCTACCCCATAACTAGTACTATCATATATGGCCGTGCATCTGCACTATGTGAAAGCAAACATCTATCTAAGAATAAGAAGGGAAAATTAGAAAAATATCATTCATAACCTATGTCAAAATTCAACCACCAACCCTAATTGGTATCTATGCCCAGAATTAGTTCCAATAATAAATCCGGAATTCATTCCACAACTGGCGCCTTTATCCAACCCCTCTGGATTCTCCATCACAACCAAAGAATTACGTTTGGTAGGGAAACAGAGGCAACATAAAAAAACATGACGGGAACATAAGACCAATACATCATTTATTCAGAAAGCAAACATATACAATAAAGGCATAACACGAAAAACAAAGGAAAAAGAAAGAAACAAAACACCAATCAAAGATCATGAAACAAACATAAAAAAACTGAGTCAAACCACTGATATACAAAATATTAGTCATCAAAGTGTAGCTATTGTCAGCAATTATTTTCCATGTGAAAAATAAAGCAAACAACAAACATTACCGACATCTGAAGTACAAACAAATATAAATGATCTAACCTCATGCACAGAAAGAATCCTAAGCAATCAAAGGTAAACAAGAGAAATTACAGCTTAACTAAGGTATTACATCGAATAATAAGAACGCAATGCATCAAACTGTGGCATAATCAAAAACCCAGAAATAATTGAAGATCGAACACAGCAGAAATTTGAACAATCTACATACTGATCAGAAAGAGACAATGAAAACAACACAGATGCTATAAGTATAGTGTATTCATATAAATTGGATAGAGTTTGTAGTTAGGGAAACCTCTGCCTCAGAAGCTTTTTGGTAGAATGGTTTCAACAGGTCTTGAAGATCATTTGGCGCCGCCATTTTGCACTGCCCTAGATTCGGGCAAAGTCAAGCTCACACACACACAGACAGACACACACACAAAGAGTTGCTCAGAGTATGGATATACTACTGTTGAACTGTTGCCATTTCTCTGATATAGCGAGGGCCGAGGGGTTCGATGTGAATTTACAAAAAGAACCCTTTTAGATTGGCTTGAATGGTAAAAATTGGAATTTTCAAACATAATTTTCTAGTTTTTACAGTAAAATGCATTTTTTTTTTATTGTTCAGAATAGTTCTGATATTATCTGCATATTAAAAAAAAAAATTGACACAAAATTAATAATTTTAGTTTAATCTTGGAGAAAGTCCGACGATAAAATGATGGGCTTGTCATCCTTATCAAATAAATATGTCGATCGAACCCGCTAAACATGATTTTTAATTAAACTTATTATCGATATGAACGTGACTATATATGATTGCAAATGATATTGTTTGAACAATATAATAGGACACGGCTTATAAATAACACGAACTCAACTGGATGTCATCCATCGAGAAGTAGTTGAGAAGGAAAAAGTTAAAAAAAAAAAATTGGACTTCCGGAGTTAACACCTTCTGAAAACACATAAAAAAATGAAAACTAAAAAATTGTAAATTATAATAATTATGCCCGAGTTTTATATTTTAATACAAAAAAATTTGTTATTTTTGTTGATAATGCACAAAACTGACTTATAAAAGATCAACAATTGAACGTGTGATAAAGTATAATTAATAGACAATTAACAAAGCAATCAATGACAATAATATAAATATTAAGTCAACACACAGATATATAGTGATTGGGTCCGGATGACCTACTCCACTCCGAAAAATGGTAATAGTGGCCAAAAGACCTTTTTTTGATTAAGTAAGGTGAACGAAAGAGAGAGACAGCAATGATTAGCCTTGGGAGGGATACAATAGCTGGGAGAGAGAAAAGTTACGTGTGGAGTGTGTAGAAAGGTGCAAAGGTAGAGATTAATGTGTCCTCTCATGTAGAAAGAACTTACAATTTATAAGTACAGGGGCCTTGGTTAAGACAGTGACATGAAAACAAATGTACTAATTCTCCGAGTGGCTACCAAAGGTAAGTGCCATAAAAAATTGTCTTGATCTTTGAGAGTGAGTATCTCGATAATTCTTTCCCACGTGCTCTAATTCTTCTTGGGCTCTTCAGACCTTAGGTTGAGTCGAATTCATGAATTGGGTTTGACCTGCCTTTTAACTGACTTGGATTTACTGGTTTATTAGGTCTGGCCCAGTTGAATTTGGGCTCGTCAGTTGTCATTAGATTAATATTGTAATTTGATTAATTTCGCGGAATCTAATGTAAATCTTAATATTTTTCATAGTTATGATGCTATCAAGTTGAAGATCCAAAAGGGTCATTAAATGAAGAAGATCAAGTATCAAAGTAACATCATTCAAACTCCATATGCACCTTCATGCCTAGGACAAAGGTAATGACCTAAACATCTAGATGAAATCTTAGTTATTTTAACTTAGGATGATTAGGATAAAAACGAAAATTGAAGAAATCTGAGCATAACTCCTATGTGATTTTAAAAGAAATTTTTTTCTAAACAAATGTGTTTTTAAAACATAGATTGAGTCATTATCAGACCTTTATTGAACGTCACTCCTTAGTGCTCAAGATGACAAGTTTGTTGCTTGATTTTATGTTTTAAAAATCGGTAGAGATCGATCTATGTTCGCTAGCCTTCTCTAAAACGGTCTCTTTATGACCTAGGGAATAAAATAGAAAAAGGTCATGGAGGAGTACAGAGCTCACTCAAGCAGTTGTTCATGGTCACTCAAGCGGTGTTCATGGTCACTTGAGTGATCAGTGCTCCTGGTCATGATTGAAACGTGATTTTCATTCTAACGGCACTGTCCTATGATTGCCTCCCACTAATCGAGCAGTCGTTCATGAATGTAAATTTTCTTGTTTACCAAGAAGTCCAAGACTACCATTTTAACGAATCTATAAATAGGTAAATCATTTTCTACAGCAAAGTTAAGCCTCTTATGAGATTTGTAAGAGATAAAATACATCTTCTACCTTGAGAGCTTTCACTACTAACCTAAATCCCTAAATTTAAGGGTTACAACTAGGGATTCTACGCAACCTTACAAATTGGAGTTGAAGATCTTAATGGTTTAGAACCAAACCAATTGGTGTATGCATATCGGGGATCGTTAGTGTGTCCATGATTGCTCGAGGTCTAGACAAACCGTGTGGCAGGGAGTCCAAGTGAAGCTACGTATATGTCGACGGAGGGCCTTTGTCAGAGAGACAATAAGGAAATGAGCATGTAGTCATGGTATTGGTTAAGGTATAAGACTTGAGTACTTGTTTATTGACTTTGTAAGTAATGAATTAGGTTTTGGTGAACCGAGAAGGTTCTTCGCTATTTTTCCCTATGAGAGTTTTTCGCGTCAACAAATCGCTTATGTTCATATTATTTTTTTACATATACACTTGTGATTGTTTGCATACACACACGCTATGTGTTTGTTGATTTAAATGCTTGAAATATAAATCAACCATAGTTGTGTTTGAGTTTGGATTTTTGGAGTCACTGTGAGATTGATTACTTGAGTGAATTAATTAAAGATTAATTATCAATCAATTGTCATAGTTAAGATGGGTTACAGTGACTAAAGGGATTATCATTAATTGATATATTCGATTAAGAAGAGATAATTGTGGTCGATTAGGTTTTAATTATTGATCAATTGGGCTTAAAATTGAAGGACCTATTCACCCCCTCTAACTAAAGTGTCTATTGTTCTACATGTATAATTGTGAAAAAAGATCTACATTGAGTTCTCCTCTCGAAACAACAGTTGTAAATATTACAATTACTTTATATATATTAAATGACCACGAACCTACAAATTACTACACCAATTAAATATGAATTATTGAATATTAGTGGATTGGTTTAAAATACCAACTTTAATTTTGTATTTAATGGTCATTATGTTTAAAGGCCTATAAAAAAATAAATAAGTTGGAAAACTCTTTCTCTAGCATTTCTATATTATCTTCTCTCTTTACAATTTTATGTTTTACATTATTTAAGTTTTATAACACGTTATCAGTATTAAATTTTAACCAGAAAGAGATGAGTAAGACATTTGTTGATGCTCTCTTGCTACTTGAAGATATTGACCGTGAATATTTCAAGGATGAAATCATTAGAGATTTCATACAATCACTCTTGATATTGTGGGTTAGAACTACTTATATCAGATTCCTGATAAGATTCACATTGATGTTATGAATCAATTCATTCATAACATACGCATTCTCTTACTTTTTTTGCTTTGTCAAAGACTAAAGGATCAATTCATTCAATTATAAGCAATGGTATCTATCTTCACTACTTTGTTCCATGTCTATTTTTATCTCTCTCTTTCGCACCATTCTTTGTCATAAGATATTTTGGTTATACATTTTTTATTGATCTAATCATTCATAATTACTGTATTGAGAATGGGGTACATTTCGATATTCGTTAAAATCCTCTACTAATTAAATTATTGTAATAGAAGATAGCTAAAATACAAGAAAGTCTTCCCTTGTTAGCTGCACCCACTCCTTAAATTGCTTAGTTTTTGGACGAATTTGTATTATCCAAAAATGAAACCTTTTTTCCGGGTTGTTGAAACACTCTTAGTGTAATTTTAAGAGTGAGATATGAAAATTGGAAAATTAAATTAAACATTTGGTACAATTCTTTTATAACACCCAAACACATCAAAGGGGAATAACGTAAGAACAATTGCAGGTCGAGATGCTTCTAGAAAGCATCCAAAAAGAGAACAACAGAAGTTTTCATAGAGGAAAGAATAAAAAAATCCAAGACAGAGCAAAACAGATCAATCCTTTCCTCTAACAAAACTCAACACTCATTCTCTTACTTTTTGCTATGTCAAAAGAGTAAAGGATCAATTCAATTATAAACAATTGTACTTTATTTCATGTCCTCTCTTCCCCCAACATTTCTCCAATCAATTATAAGTGTATGGTATTTTGACTGATTCCTCAAATGTATGTGGAAAAACCATATATATAATTAGTAGGGGTCCTAGAATTAAATGAAATCAACTATCAATTCAATAAATTTAATAGATTAGATTTTCAACTTAAATTCTCAATTTAGGTACAAATAGTATGATATAATGAGCATTACTTTTTTTTATTTTTGGTATTACGATCAGGGGTGTTATGCACACATTGACTAATTTCTTCCGTGGTTCGATCTAAGACAAGTTATCCACGTTGAGACTAGAGAATTCACGAGAAATTATACCACATAGTTTGGTCCCAACAAATTTGCCAAATTTTAAATTCAAGACGTCTAGATTTACGGCTCCTCCGTATTTCTGTGAGAAGCATTACTCTTATATAAGAGGCATCTCTGCATTTTGTTCTCATCCTCGTGAACCACTAAAATCGCCCACTTATGTCATCTTCTTAATAACCCATATCTAAGCTTCCGCCATTTCTCTCTCACTCTATCTATCTCTAAAATCTGTAGATTGTGGACAGATCTAAAAATATAGTCATTGTTTTGGCCTCTTCTCTTGAGGAGTTCCTATTTAACTCTCTTTGTTGTTAGAATTTCTAAACCTGTCACCCCTCTCTCTCTCATACGTACGTGCACAAGGAGACGGAGATGGAGCTTCAACATTTCAGCCATGAGCATCCACTGATCCCCATGGAAGTGCCAAAGGAAAAAGGAGGCCAAGTTACTTGCTGTGCCGGGTGTCTGAAACCGATCTTAGGTGCTGCATATAGTTGTACTGCTATTTCTAACACCACTAATACAGCATGTTATTTCTTTCTTCACAAAAGATGTGCAGAACTCCCCGACGGCATTAAAACCTCTTACACCACCACCATGTGCTGTCCCTTTGCAAAAGAAAGGGTGGTTGGGGTGCTGCGGATCAATGTGCTGTTTGCAGAAAATATTGTGGTGACTTCTACTACGACTGTAGCATTTGCACATTTCGAATCAGCCTTTCATGTTGGTTAGAGAAGTCGAATGTGACGATTACACACGAAAGTCACCTTCACCCATTAACCCTCCTCCCTATGGAAACCTCTTTCTATTGCAATATTTGTGGCACCGAAGATAAAGATTTCTTGTACCTATGTAACACCTGTCAGTTTTGTATCCATAAAAGTTGTGCAATGCTACATAACACTACCTATTCTATTGAACACCGTCACCCTTTCACCCTCGTCAAGCAGGCGACATCTTGTGATCGGAAATTCCAGACATCAGAGAAGTGTATAATATGTCATGTCAAGTGTGCAACCTCGCAGCAAATTTCACTGTGAGTTTAATCTTTTTCTCTTGTTCATATCCTCATCCTCTCTTTCCCTAAAAAATCTTGCATTGCTTTTGTTATCATTAAGTAGCATTTTTTCTCCTAAATTTTATGGTTTCAATGTTGGTAAAACTAGCAATGAAAGTAGTAACATGATTGAATTTGACAGTGTAACTTCTGAGAATGAACCTGATGAACCTCTTCTCAGCGTTATTAAGCTAAGTTTACCTCCAGCCGATGGTTCTACAGTTCTTATGAGAGATTTAGTTGAACAAAACAGTATTGAACAGACAGGAGGAGAAACGAAGATCATCCATTGGAGTCATGAGCAGCATCCGTTAATCCTTTTCAATGTTCAAAATTGCCATGAGAGGAAGAAGGATGACAAAATATTATGCGATTGTTGTGTTCAAGCAATTTCGCTTCCATTTTACAGTTGTGAAGAGTGTAATTATTTTCTCCACTTATATTGTGCCAATTTACCAAAAGAGTTGAGACACCCAATAATTCACTCCACACACCGATTACAACTCATTTATGACAATAAATTCTATCATCTTCACCGGTGCAAGGCCTGTTTTTCATACACCAACGGATTCTTCTACAAGTGTTGTGAAGATGAAGGATGTGATGTCTGCCTTGATGTCAGATGTGCTTTCATGCCTGGTAGAATTGCACATGAAGCTCTCGAGCATCCCTTGTTTCAAATTGAATCGCTTGATTTTAAGTGCAGGGTATGTGCGTACTATGATCCTGGGGTCAAATTCAAATGTCACACTTGCAAGTTCGTTGTATGCCAACAATGTGCTCTGCTTCCGAATACCATCAAGCATAGATGGGACCCGCATCCCCTCAGCCTTACCTATCCTCCTTTCAATGATCTTGCGGATGAATTCTATTGTGAAATTTGTGAGAGAGAAATGAACCAAAAGTTTTGGATGTACCATTGTCGTATTTGCGATCAATTTTTTCATATTTTATGCATTTATGATGATTATTCAAATGTCAAGTTTGGAAGTATTGTTCAAGTCAACGATCATCCACACCCTCATGAAAGAATACTATTGGAGAATATTTGGGGAATACCTTTTAATATATGTTTGAATAATTTTTTTAAATAAAGTTTTAGATGATAATATGGTTTTAAAGTTTGTCAACAATAGATGTGAAATTCAGCTTAGCACTTATGTAGAATAATACTCCAAAAACTATTAGAAGATCCTCCAATTATTTTGTTATTAGGGAGGAGCCTAACCCATATTTTATCTAGTCAAAATAGAGAACCTATTGGAAATGAATTTTTAGGGATCGACTCTCCAAAATGGTAAATGAAGTGGCAACACTCCTATACCCACCTCATTGTTAGACAAATATAGCAAAGAGTTATTACTCAATATGCCCATAACAAAAGAGCTAAATACTCAGATCATACCTTAACCACAAAAAATGAAAAAATAGAGAAATGATCAAAGTTCAAATCCATTTGAAACAAAGAAAGTAATGACCCAAAAATAAAAGCAAAGCAAGAATATCCAAAAATGCAATTTAAAATGACAAAAACCTAATGGTTAAAAGCTTGAAGTCAATAAAAAACCATCTGAACATGATTTAATCAAAGATAAGCCACAAACTGACAAAAAAAAAACATACAAAGAAAAAGAGAAACTGCACAAATCCACAAGAAAAAGGCCCCAACCCCAAGCAAAAACAGGGTAAAGAGAACTTCCTAACAAATAAATCCAGAACCAAGTGGAATAAATTTTGAATTGAAGAGAAGGGCAAAAACTTACATCAATAAAGCAATTATGGAGTAAGAGGCTTCCATATAATTTCAGAATTTGTCATTCGGATCTGACAGAAATGCTTGGATCAAAGTCTTTTGACTTTTTGACAGCATCTTGAGCGGCTTTAACTGTTTTGGTTGATCATCCTAGGATTCGAAAAAAAACAAATTGCCTCTAGAAGAAAAGATTCATATCAGCGGATGAAGAGTAAAAAATACATATATAATATGAGGTACGAAATGTTGCTCATACAATACTAAAGAAGGTGGTTTATTTCACAAAAATTACCCATTTCCACCACCCATCTGAAGCTCAATGGGGGAACAGAGCAAATTTCTATGTGAAATCCACCTAAAAAGTCATGAAATCCAACTATTATGTGGCACTTTGTGAGGGAAATAACAGGCACAGAACCCTTCAATTGGATAGTAATCTCTGAAGACAGTTAGTCAAAGAGGCACAAGTTATGGCAGTTTGCATTCAGTAACACGAGATGGTCACAAACAAAGAATATAGTTTTAGGAATATGTTTTGAGGAATTCAAAAAATAGAAGCAACAATTTGAAGTTGAAAGAACCAGTAAGAAACTTACAGCGCCGCTGTGGTGCTGGAAGTCCTGCACAAGCATCTAGGACAGCAGCTAAGTGAATGTAATTTGTAAATATTCTTGCCTCCAAAATTGGAAAAACTTGTTTCCTATCTATCTATCTATATATATATATATATATATATATATATATATGAGTAATAGTATTGGACAAAATATGAAAATCAGTACTTTGTGAATTGTCATAAGTTTTTAAGTCTAGTACCCATAATGCGAATATTAAGACTAATAGAAAGGGTGCAATAAACATACCTAAATACAAGGATAGTTCTCTTCTCAAGTCTTCTTACTTGGTAAAACTTTTATGCACCTTTTTGTCTTTATTAGTAAGTTTTAAGTAAAAACTCTTTAACACCCATAGGCAAAATTTTCAGCTTTGTTGATTAAATTTCGACAAATGTTTATCTTTCAGTCAAATATCCAACCTAAACTAGTATTGAACACAGGGACTATTGGACATGTGCCCGTAGTGAAGATTCTATTTTCTTAACTATGAATATGGATAAAAGAATATTAAATATGTGTCCAAGAAATATTAGTGGCCGAGATATGTCCAACATGGGTATGTCTCAATCGAGCAAATATATACGCAGTCCTTAACCCTTCCACCATCTATATTTAATTTGGAGCATTTGCTTTATCAATTTGCCCTGCCACGAGGTGCAAAATATAAGCAGTACTAGGGATAATTCGTGCCTAAAGACACGGTGAAATGTAAATCAACCAGTTAATGCTCCAAAAAAATTAATTTAATTTGCTTTAATTTACGAAATTGAAATCAATATAGTCCCCAAATATTTTTTGGAGAATTTTTGAGTAGAGTTCGCTCTAAAAATAGGAGCCCAAAAAAATTTCAACCAGTCTACAAAACTTAGAGTCTCTGGAATGCACAATACAATCAAATCAAAACTAAAAATTCAACTTGGCTTCCTTTGAAAATAGAACACCATGGAATACTAACCTATATACAGAACTGAAAAATAAACGAAACACTCTCCTAACATCAGTGATCCATACCCAACTACCAAAACAATCAACAATTTCACATCAAGCCAAACATATCCTCATAATCGTGAAATTAGTTCACCATACTAAACTCAAGTGTAAACAAAAAACCACTCAAATCCAATTAAGTTGATATAGTAATTGCCCGTGCATAAAGGCACGAAGTAACGAAAACTTAAATTCAAACTTGAAGAATATAACTGTGTATAAAGGCACTTTGCAACCTATAATTTTTACAGCATTTGTTTTAATTAAAAAAATTGAAATTAATCAAGCTCCCACTAATTTTTTAAACATTTTGGCAAAACTTCCTCTAAATATAGGGGCCCAAGAAGATTTCAACCTGTCTACAAAGCTCACAATCATATAGAACAATCATAATAATGCCCCATACCACCACAATTCAATTCTATTTCTACCACAATCATCATACATCACAACCTAATTCCATAATCAACCATCAATTCACATCAAAACCAAATATATCCTCATAACCATATATAATTAGTTCATCGTACTAAACATGGAACAAACAAAATACATGCAAAGTGCACACACAAAACACACACATGCACAAAGACAGAAAGAAAATCCTTCAACATCATCTTCTTTGGAGCTAGGAGTTACCACCACACAACTGTCTGATTGGAATGGACTTTAACTCGTATCTGAAAGCACATATGTAATTCAAAAAAAGTGAACATTAATCTTAAAGACGATGAAAGAAGAAAAATAAATACCTTACATCATCATTGATTCTCAATCTAGTTGATTGGTCGTAAACATCAAAGAGAGCATGCACAATATCATGTGCAAGTAATGGCATCTAAGTATTTCTAAGTTCTAAATAATTCAATTTAAGTTGTGTCTTATTATTATAGATAGCGATAACCTGTGCTTAAAGGTACCATACAATTCATAAAAAAATCGAACATTGATTGTGGACTCAAAAAAAAATCAAATATTGAACATGAACACGAACTAAGCTGAAAACCTAAATTGCACCCTTAACACACCACACTTTGCATACATGCTCAACCAAGTATTAACAATATGAATATTCTCATAAAGGCATTATACCAAAAAAAAAAATAGCCAATATTTAATCAAAACATCTTTTTGTTCTTTTACACAATTTTGACAAAGTTTGAAAGTTTCTTCTAAAAATAGGGCCTCAAGAAATATACACAACCTATAAAATGCTAATTACACGTGTTTTAAAAAAAAATTACACGTGTTGTGTGGGGGTTTGCACCATTGGGAATAGAAGATCAATGACTCAACTTCTATTCACCACATCACCTGGTTCAGACGACCTATAAAATTAATGATTGAAGGTTTGAAATAGAAGCAATACAAATTGCGAATTTAGTTTTACCTTTATCAAACACGATCCAAAAATAATAAGTTAGAACTCAAACTATAAATCAAGGAAATCAATAATTCAAGTTATGAAACTGAAATTTCACCTAAAATGGTAACACTCAAGGTAACACTCAAGGCCATGTTTGACCCTATGCTTTTGTTCCCATTAGAGCAAGTTTGAATTTCAAGACCATGACTCTGCCCAAGAAAACAAATGATTAACATCAAGGTAAAATAAAAACTTGCCCAATTTTTTTTTTTTTTTGGAAAAGTAAAATTTGCCCAAGCTTTGCTCTCAAATGCGATGAATCCATTAGTGTGAACGTAAAAGAAGGAAATCTATAGCAAAACTCAATTACCTGTCTCCAAATCTGTAGCGTTCAAATCTTTTATTAGCTCAAGTGAAATTCAAATTTTCTTTTATAACTGTAGGTTTAATTGAAAGGAAACAAACATAATCCCAAAACTTCAGCAAATAATCGCAATAAATAATCTAAAACTGAATCAACTGCAACAATTTGATTGCACAATTTGATTCAATACAAACATATTTAATTTTATAGAAACTTAAACTGAACCCAAAAAAAATTTAAAAAAAAAAAACTTCACCTAAAAAAACCCTAACTAAAACGAAGAAAACCACCATAAATATCTTGTGGTGGTGGTGGACCTGGCAGTGTGAGATAGAAGAACTAATGCATTCTTCAATCAATGTCACTCATAAATTTAACCTCAAACCAATCAAAAACAATTCTAAGACTACCAAAATAATATAAATTTCATATTCAATTTGAGTCGTGCACGTTAGTCATGAGAGATAGAGAGAAAGAGAGAGGAGAGAGAATTCTTCGAAATGGTAAAAGGAGCTTCAAATTGAACCTAATTATAGTCGAAAACAATTGAAATTGACAACAAAAATTCACAAAACTCGCTGGAGGTTTAATAAACGTGGATTAGTGAGTGTAGTAGATGGAATTTCGAACTTTGAGAAAGGGGGTTGTTACCAATAACCAACAACTGGAAGATGCTTGACAAAATTCTCAGTGTAATGCGAAGAGCTGTGCTGCAAAGAAAGGAAAACAAATTGACCAATTAGTTATAGTGAACACAAATCCATATTCTGAATAAAAGAAAGGAAAGAGAAATTTAGGTGACCTAATCTAGGCATTTGAATAAAAACCAAATC